CTCTCTCTCTCTCTCTCTCTCCCCCATCAATCTCAGCACTAATAACAAAACGAAACGAGCAGGCTGATGCACTGGCAGCCGAATTCGGGGGCAACGATGAGCAGCCAGATACTGGCGGAGGTGTGCCAGTGCGTGGAGGGCTTCGGCAGCGCCGCCAAGGAGGGTCGGTGGCGGACCACGCTCACCATCTACCGTCCCGTGGCCCGCGATCCGTCCTCCACCGCCACCTCCGCTCCGGTCCCCATGCCTGGCGACCTCCCGCGCGACTTCCTCGGCCTCACCCTACATGATCGCCCCGGCGCCTACTTCTTCATCCTGCGGCACCATCGCCTCATCCTCCAGGCGGACGCCAACGTCCAGTCCCTCATGGATAAGCTCCAGTCCTACAAGGCTCGCGTCGTCCTCCACTTCGAGGTGTTTACCCTTTTTCTCTGTTCCCATGTTTCCCTTCCCTTCTACCTATTTCCTATCTATTTGTTAGCTTTTACTTGAAGATTCGTTAGGTTTTACTCAAAAATTTCTTACTAGTTTCTCTATTCCCAATCTTTGCTTTCCTTCTTTCCCCTCTGTGGATTTCCCTCGAAGATTTGTTAGTTTCTACTCGAAGATTTGATAGTTTCCACTCTTTGATGCTTCTCCTGTTGGATCGTGTGATGAATCGTTGCTAGTGAGAGAATGTGTCAAGGTTCTTTTAATCTCTTTGATGCCTCCTGTTCCATCTGTCTGATGGGAACGATTTCCAATTGATCAAGAACCATGTAAACCCACACACCTAATCTTTGGCGGTACCTTCTTTTTTATATTTCTTTAACTTTTTTCTTTTTGGATCTTATTTTTGTTCTTCTTTTGTTCTTTTTGTTGTTGTTGTTGTTGGATTATATGTGTTATGTTAGATAATATAATCTTGTGTTTCGATTTATGACTTGAGATTCTCGGTCTGTAGTAAGTTTCATTTATTCCCTCCTTGCTCTTCGGTGTTCAAATGGATTGGATGTGGTTAAAGTTCTTGATCGGAACAATTTCCTCTGGTTCTTGTTGTTTTTAATCTTTATTATGCCCTGAAAGTCTAGGGTGTGCTGAATATTCTTTGTTGGAATAGTTTGGTTTTCTTTTCTTGAAAGCTTTCTTGCAACTTCTTGCAAGTTTATGATGACTTTTCATTAAAAATTATTGTTAAGATGAGGGAAGGTTATAGAATTTTTTATGTTTTAGTTTGTTTAATGTGTTTAGAAATCTTGATTAGAACAGTTTCCTCTAATTCTCTTATTCTTTGTTGGAATATATTGTTCTAGTTTTTTCATTCTTTTGAGCTTTCTTGTGATGCCTTCTATAAGCTTCTGATGACATTTCATGAAAGTGGAATGGAAGCTGTAAATTTTTTATGCTTTGGTTTATATGTTTGTTTGATGTAGTAACATTTATCAAGTAATTGAGATTTTCTCTATTTTGGTTTAAGATGGATATGTTTAGATTTGAATATGTTTGAACTTTTCATCAGTGCATAATTACTCCATCGATAATTTGTTTGGGCTGGCTCAAGTTTGACCTTAGCACATTGTGATTCTATTACTCGTTCCATTGTCTTACCGGTCAAAAAGGGTGTGAGAATAAAAATACTTGCAATTTAATTTGGTTCCATTTGGGAACAGTTTGATTTCAAGCAGCATCCACTAGCTGCAGTTTCTTCATCTTTTGGGTTCCGATGTGTCATCTGGAACAAGAAAACTCACATTCTCTAGATTAACTAATTCTCTCTATTTCTCAGGTTCTAATGTTCACATAAAGTGCAAATTATCTAGCTTGGTTATGTACTTATCATTTCCTTCTTTTTTTTCCTATTGCGTTATCAAGAATAGGCTGTTGACAAACATAGACTATAAGAGGTGTGAACTGCTTAGCCTGTAGAAGAAACACTCTAGCATGTATTGGATAAGATTGGAGGACTAGGCTATCATGGAAACCACCTCTTTACTTGTAAGTGTAGGGCTTGGGTTTGGGTATGCTATTTATTAGAATTTGATGGGTCCATGGATATCATTTTTCTGTTAATTTATAATTCTGGAGAAATTTAGAGTAAATGTCTTCTCAGTTTAGACAATTATGCTATGTATTATATCAGAAGAAATGGATTAAGTTATTATTGATGATGGTCTTTTGCCAGTTTCTTGCCATCATACAAAGATGCGAACCTTAATTGGAAAATGAAGAATTTTGCCAATGGTTTACAAATGTGACTTCAGATTTCTAAATTATTGTCGAGTATACTTAAAGCCATGGTTTAGGATACTGGATGAACTGTTAGATATCGGCCTGTGTATTACTGGTTTGACTAACCATTCTTTATAGACCATATAGGTCAATACCACTTTATATAATTTCTTTTATTATTTTTTCAATGAGATCAGATTAGTTTGGTATATCGCTCGGTGTCTCGGTATTGGGCCAGTCCAACTGGTTGTCCAATTGATGTCAACCTGGTATGGAAGACCTTGAGCAATGCAAAATTGGGCAAGCAAGGGACTGAGTAGATCAGTTGGCATACAGGTTAAGCTTATGACATTACATTATACCAAGAGCCAATGCTTCAGAATTCAATTATTACAAAAAGCTTCTAGAGGAAGGAAACATGACTAGCTTTTGCTACATTGAGCAATTTCATTTAAAAGTGCAAACAAGTCAAAGAATAGGAGGACAGATCGACCAAATGGAGGAATCCATCACACAACTTGATCCAATTAGTTTGGTTTGATGCAGGGCCAGTAAGAATGGCAAGAGTTCCTCAATTGTAATCTTAGATTTTGACGAAAACAAACTGCTGTGTAATCAAAATTTGTTGAGGGCATCTGTTGATTGGTTCTGTGGTAGAAACTAGAAACATATTAACATGTGATGGTTAGCTTTTTGTGTTTTGACTTGCTTTAAAGTCTGATATGCAAGTGGACCTGATCCATGTGCACTTATTATATTAAGTAGAAATATATTGATATATGATTCCAGTGTGGCGGCGGCTTTTATTCTTAACTTTAATCTCCACGCTATGTTAGTTGATCTGATTCATGTGCATTTAGGTGTGTTGCACCAAATTACTAGAGCATGTAGATTATATTTGTTTACTTGCTATAATTCATTTCAATTGTTTGTTTATTAGTCTATGCAAATGGTTTAAATATGTTTTTGTTATGATGTTTGGATGATTTAATGAAACCTTTGAAATCTTCATATAGCCAATTCCATATGCATCTTTATTTAGTTTTACAATAATAACTATAACAACAAAGTCGTAAGTTGCAACAAAACTGTAAATAGTAAGTCTATTTAGTTTTAGAATAATAGTTTTAGAAAAATCAATCATTTGGTCAAAGGTTTCTTTTGTTAATTCTTTTTACCTTTCTGTTTGTAGGGATTCCAGTATCAACTTGGAGACTTTATGTTGAGGGTGGGAAAATGTGTTCAATCGCATGCCGATACATTGAGGGGAATCATGATGGAGGTACGTACCAATGATTGATTTTTCGTTGCACATTCAGTTTGATCGAGGCTTTAATTTGTATTTACTTTGCAGGTAGAGTACCTTCCGCTATCTTCGATTGACAAGTCTAGGCAAATCATGGAAGACTTCTTAGACATATGGCAGGATGCAGTCATCAAGAAGTCACTGCCGGGCCAATTCATCAACGTCGAGTTGAACTTTGCAGACTACGGTCTGCAGGACCAGTACACTCCTCAGCACACTGCGCTTCAGTACGCCACTTGCATAGTCCAACTGATGGCTACGGTTAGAAGTTAAAAAGAGTACACTCTCGGACGGGGTGTATCTATTTATGGACTGCAAAGCTTAATTTGGTGAGGAGGAGGAGTGCATCTATCTATTCGAAGCACTGCAACAGAATGGTAGAAAATTGTTTTAGTTAACTGACTCGTATTTTGCTCTCTGAAAACCAAATGCCGCCAGATGGTTGACATTCCACGATGAGAAAAAAGTAATAATCCGTGTAATTGATAATGATTACTTTGCCTATTACCAAACGGACATTTGTTTCCCAAATAATACCTCCCCTCTTTTTGTTTTTTTTCTTTTCCTCCACTTTAATCCATCTCCTTGTAGGTTTCAGATTCTTGTTTTCTCCAAAACTCTCCTTTTCTTTCCCAACTCTTCAACGGGACAGTCGACACAGAGTCGAATATATATAACCAAGTAAAGAGAGAGAGACAGAGAGAGAGAGAGAAATCTGGAAATAAATATAACCAAGTAAAGAGGCGAGGGTGATATGGATAGCAATACTTACAGCAGCCAGTTGGGGGGTGGTAGCGGAGGGCGATGCGCAGCTTGCAAGACGATGAAGAGGAAGTGCGTCAAGGGATGCATCTTTGCTCCCTATTTTGACGCCGAGAGAGGGGCGGCGCGATTCGCGGCGGTGCACAAGCTATTCGGTGCCAGTAACGTGTCCAAGCTGCTGCTCCAAATCCCCATCGACAAGCGGGTCGACGCCATCGCTACTCTCTGCTACGAGGCTCAGGCGCGTCTCCGAGATCCCGTCTATGGTTGCGTCGCCCATATCTTCGCCCTCCAACAACAGGTACAATTCTACGTACCCTCCTCCTTCCCTCACCGTTCTGCAGGGTTGTCAGGTCAACCGCATCCGTGCACTCTCTTTGTGAGAGAAAAAGCCAAGAGAAGAAAGAAACCATCTCTTTCGTCCGTCTACTGTTCTTTGATCCTTAGTATATCCTTCCGCCACCTTTCAGATTCGACTCTTATAATGTCTGACATATAGTTGTCAGACTAGGATCTAGTTAACGTCAATTCCTGAACCATCATCATCCATGTGTTCTTCTTATAGGAACTCAAGAAGCTCCTTCTGCATGTTTCCTTATTTAATTATACGACCAACGCTTCTTTATTGGCTGATAGTGTAAGTCTGGGATTGGTGCTCGAGCAGGTGGTTAACCTACGGGCCGAGCTCTCCATCCTGCAAACCCAGCTCGAAGCTCTGCAAGAGTTGCCGCTTCCACCTGTGCCAACGTTCCCGTCGCCGACTCCCTTCAGCTCCATCCTGCCGACAACTTGGGGTCTTTCAGATGTCGAGGCTCCTCTGGTGCAACCATCACGGCAGCAGCATCAGCTGTGGACCGACGGGACACACCTACTGGCTATCTCAGGCGGTGGTGATGGCGTGGTGGCGAACTGCAGCTACGCGCAAGAAAATCTGTTAACGGGTCGGCCACCATCGAGCTCACCGTCAACTGCGGATCTCTCCACCTTTGTCGCCCCTGATCTGGTGCAACCGGCGAGCCTACATCAGCAGCAGCACCAACTCTGGTCTTTCCGGACGAACCTCCCCGATGGCATGAACTACGAAGAGAATTTCTTGTCAGGCACCGATCGGCTACCACCGACCATCCTGCCGACAACCGGGGATCGCACAGCGAGGCAACATGAGCCACAGCAACTCTGGGCCGACGGCACGAGCCCATCAGACGGCTCAGGCGGTGATGATGGAGAATGGTGGTGGTGACCTGCAACCACTTCCCATCTCTGTCATGGGAATACACACAATTGCTCTTTTAATTACTTCCTATTGTTTTCGAAAACTTAGGGTCGGACCATTAATTCCTCTTCCTACTTGTAGTTCTCACTGTCGTGAGATGATGTACCACGCATACAACAGGCGCCTATTCAAGCATACATAAATGAAATGAGTTGCATGAACGAGGATGTTGAAACTTCAATTTCAGTTTGGCAGTTGCTGTTATGGCAAATTGAAGAACAATTCAACATTCACTCGAGACAACTTTCTGATACTGCCCTGAACAATGGCAATGCAACCAAAATGCAGAGTAGCTGACCAAAAAACACACAAGAAGAAGAAGAAGAAGAAGAAGAGGTTTCAGTAGCTTCAGTCATTGAGTGCTTGGTTCATCATCAATTTCACTTCTCCTGCACAGGTTGGAAAACTATATGATAGAAGAAGTACAGAGAAATGATGCAATGAAACTACTATTACTATTAGAAATTATGATTATTGCAAGGAAATTGCACAAACTATGAGAAATAATAGCCTACCGACGAATTATCACGGTATAATGTGGAAAGCCAACATACGCAAGGCATGCCAATAGAAGCTGTGAACGTGTTATACTAAAACCTCTTACCAGAAGACTGCTCTATTTGGTTTTTGGACAAAACATAAAACTGCCAGGCGGTATTATAGTCTTTATCCGATTGATTCTTCTGTGCAAACAGTACTATCCTTCGGTTAGCTCCTCATTTTTGTATGCAAGAAATGCTCTCATGTACAAAAGGAGGTTATACTTATTACCTCCTTGTCAGCTTCTAGACTTCTTGCCAGGTTTTCATTGTCGTGCTTCAAGGAATCGATCTCAGCCTCCAAAGTATTCACCTAGATGATCAAAATAGAACAACATGAGAGGAATCCTTGTGCCGACAAATTAACAGCATAGCACATGCGGTTGGTACAAAATGACAATGTTTCAAAGAAAATTACTAGGTTACATATGTTCTTTAGGATTCATCCATGATGATCCTATTCGTCAAGGTTGAAATGCTCTGAACTGTGGAAACACAGAGAAATCTTGATGGCAGAAAAACTTTTGAGTATACAACAGAGTCATTATACTATATAATGGCTTCAATCTTAACAAACTTTTGTCGATCAAAAGACTCCATCATTTGTAAATTCTTTAAATTTCACAAAATAAGTGCTGTAAATTTTGCCAGAAGAAACCCTGACTGATTGAAAGCAATCCTGAAATCAGAAATCCTATGTATGCTATCCTCACGAAGGAAGCAAAAGAAGAGTGGCCTCTTCAAATGATTTCTCTGTTTTGAGGTTTTCTTTGCATTGATGATGTACCAACAGCATAGCAGCTTATCATCTTGGAAAATACCAAATAGTTATCCAAGAACTGTCTGGTACCTTCTGAAGAAGGGCCGAATTCTCCCCATGCAGCCTCTCGTACCACCAGGCTATCAATCCCTTCTCAGCTGTGCATTCGCCAAACCCCTTATCGCACTCCTTTTTCTCCTTCTGAAGTTTTCTTACATCATCCTACCCGATATGGGATACAATGAGAAGAAAATCAAGAAAAGCCACACACACACACAGAAGAGAGAGAGAGAGAGAGAGAGAGAGAGAGCAGAAACCTTGCGATCTTCCTGGCGCGATCTTGTGAGTTGAGATATATGATCCTGGAGGCGCTTGCTGTCCTCTTGGCACTCGACGAGTCGCCGTAGCAAACTCCAAGAAGCGAACCGATCGTGGCAAGCGCCACATTCCCTCTCATCGCCGATGGGGCCCATCAAGCTCTTGGAGACGTCCACGAGTCTGGGATCCATGCCGCTTCCTTCAGCCTCTACCAAAACCTAAACCGGAGTCAAGATTATACCAAAGAAAAGGAAAAAAAGAATCGGAGGTTGCCATGAAAGTAGCACGGACGAATCACAGATCGAGAAAGAAACACAAGGCCCGTGAAATCGTCGAGTGCCAAGAGGACAGAGAAAGCCAGGGTTATCGATTAACAGAGAGAACCTGGAGATGCTTCAAGCTTCTTGTCTGTAGCGAGACAAGATCACAAAAGCGGTGGCGAGAGAGAGAAAGGAGTTGAGGTCTTTAAATAGGCTTGCAGAGAGGCGGTTGGAGTCGACGATGGCGGTGGTTTGACAGTTGGGGGAACGGCCAGATCGAAGAGTGGCTCTTCGATGATGAGGTAAGGCTCAAAGAAAACAATAGGGAAATGACGTATGCTGCCAAACCAACGGACACGTACTGCATTCTGACCCCAAAAGAAAAACCCCAAATGAAGAGCTTATCAACTGAACTAATTGACATTTTCATATAATTTTATTTGATTATTGCTAGAATTAGTTTATGTTTAGACAAAATTTCCAATTCAATCATCAAATCCACCCGTTTCCATCTGCCAACTGATCATAGAATCGATACCAATCATTAGACAAGTGAGTGGAGAAACAAATGATGTATCAAAGACATTTCACACAAAACCATACTCCAACTAGAAATTTTGGTCAAAATGGCACAGAAAAAACTCAAGTGAAAAATGCCCATTGCAATGTAGTTGAATCTTTCACAGAGAGATGATCACACCTTTGTCCGTTATATTCTTCTTCGCCAATATGACATGATGATTCAGCATTCATTTTTCACAAGAACCAGATATCTGAATGCAAACCAGAGGTTTATCAGCTTGCGATCTGACAAGGAATTCGGGGTTTATCAGCAAATTTGGTGTCACAGTTAGTGTAGTGTTGCTAGCCATTCTAAGCTTCCGGTCCTCCGTGAAAGTATTTGCTAACATCTGCAATTTCAGGCAAAAATTAGAGATTCATGCGGTCATAAATTAATAAATTACATAACATGCACAATATATTTTCCAGAAGCACTTGACAGAAAAAGAAGCTTCTATATAGGGACTGGTCATCAATATTATTTTCATCATTGCATAAATCTCAAGTTAACTTGTGCCTAATTTAGCTTTTACCATCTTGTGGAGAATAATGTCTCAACTCTCAATATCTAGGAACTCAATGGTTTCACTAATTACAACATGTTGATAATAAAATTTCTGATGTTTGAATCAAGTAGAAAAGTTTTTGAGTGAAAGTGCATGTGTCAAATGATGATGATCACAACATCAAACAGGATCTAAATTTGATGGCATTCATTGAAAGATGTTTTGGAACACTTACATCCAAATTCCAGAGGCATCATCGAACAAAATTCACCCACAATTCTCAGATGGAACTGGTCAAAGACCGAGCGTGCAATGCAATGACTTGACTTAATAGCTACCATAAAAGCATAGTATCAAATATCAATACATATGATAAATTATATTAATGACGACTCAATCCCTGCAAAAAATAACTGCTGGTCCCAATAATTAGTTTGGTTACTGTGGTCTCTTGACCAAATAAAACTTGAATATTCAATAGGCATTCTCGACCTTGTCATTTGTGCTTCCATTAGCAAACTCTTTGATATAATTAGTGAGCTTTGTAATCTTTCCTTTTGTCACCTATATATTTATTTGACAGCCGTAGTGTGATAGGTGTAAGATTAAAGTTGACAAGGAGCTCTCTGTGTCTGCCTGGAAAAAGAACAACCAAAACTATCATTCTGCAACCTAAAACCAAAAGAAGCAAGTCTAAGATCATCAACATAAAAAGGTGGTTTCTTTTTTATGTGACTATAAGCTATTTTTAACTCCCAACTTTATGCAGACTATCAAGATGATACCTCACGTGTTGAAATTTCAATCAGATGTAAATGATACACGTGTGTCAAAGTTGAAACCAATCAAGGAGAACCATTTGCCTCCTACACCATTCTTGTCGATGTTGATTGGACAAAGAACAACCTAAAACATCACTCTGCTACCTAAAACCAAAAGAAGCAAGTCTAAGATCGTCAACATAAAAAGCTGGTTCCTTTACCATGTGACAATAAGCTATTTTTAACTCCCAACGTTATGCAGAATATCAATATACTGCCTCACGTGTTGAAACTTCAATCAGATGTAAATGATACATGTGTGTCAAAATTGAACCAATCAAGGAGAATCATTTGCCTCCTATATCATTCTTGTCGATGCCGATTGAAGATCTACAACATTCACAAATGGAGATTCTTTATTAATTACGTTAAGGAGAGATTACAAACAGAAGTGGGAATTTGAAGATCACTAAATGCCACAAGTCCCTATTGCTCCACCTTAGCCATTGGATCATCAACATTGTTGTTGGAAAGCTGCAAAACAGCCCATTTAAGGCTGACCAACGTTAAAACATGGTTGACCAACTTGGGTGCGCTACCATCCCTGTCGCTAGGGCCGGGCGGAGCTTAAGCTGCTTAATAGGCATCGGCAGCTGGGGGAAAGCTCAGTGAAGCCACATCGAGGGATCTATCAGGTATTGATGTCTCTGTTCTGTTCATACTTGGAAATAAGCTACTTGGAAATATCAGGAAAGCTCTACGACTCCTATTTGGGAACAATCTAGACCTATCCACCTTGACTTTCCTTATTTCTATCAATCCAAATTTAGCTCATGTTCACCGAGGAGACCTCTCATCTACCCCTAACTACATAAAAGAAGATATGGAATTGGATCTCTTTTCAATGGCAAAGTGATAAGCAGCCGACCAACTCTGCCCATAAGAGAGGTTTTACAAGCTATTAGATAAATCATCCGGCAGGCAGCCCTTGGAATGGCTTATGCACACCCCCTGGCACCCAATGTAGGGTTCGAATTGCAGTAACACAGTTCAGGTTTTCACCCAAAGAACATGGTTGAAACATATAGGATCTTGAATAGAAGAACAACCATACGGATTTTAAAGAGACCATTCAATTAGGAAGAGATAACCTAACTTACCTGCAAAAGGAGATCAGGATCATACTCTTCTTCTTTTCCCGTATGCTTGGTGTGTGTCGGAGCCGTAGTGTACTGCATCCCGCAAGAGCTCAAGGAGGCGGATCGTAGCAGAATTTGGCCAACCTAACGCAATCCAACCAGTGCAGCACCTCCGAATTGGGATCCCGTTCCACCACCACATCCCCGACGGTTATCTGCACCACCCCCCTGTACGCCGTGATCCTCCCCCTGACCCGGACCAGTTTCCCCAGCTGCACGGCTGCGGCCTCCTCGCGAGCCATCTCAGCGGCCACGCCGAGGTCGCGCTCGCGGTCGGACTGGTGGTTGAGCCAGAGGATGCAGGGTATGCACCCACTGCCGTCGTCCACCAGGAAGGAGAGGTACTTGTCCTTGCGCTCGCGGCTCACCACCACGCCCACGGCTTCGGCTCGCGATACGGGTTTACCCTTCCGGGTGAAAGAGGGAGGGCGGGAGGTGTAGTGGACGGCGAGGGAGAGGAGATCGGCGGCCAGAAGCTTCACGTGAACGGCCATTAGGGGTTTGAGTACATTTGGGCATCCGATCTTTTCGAATATAAGATCTTTTACTTATATACTTCTTTCAATTTTATTAATATCCCCAACCAGTTTTTTCTTTTCTAATATTCAAAACGTCTTTATAC